CCCCCAATACTGGGGTTATAGGAGTGCACCACCATGCCCAGATTTTTATCTGGTTGCTGAGGATCTGAACTCAGGCCTTCATACTTCAACAGCAAGTATTTTACCCACTGAGCCATCTTCCTGGCCCATAAAATAAACAATGTCATCATTTATATGGAAGCATGAAAGACCCCACATAGCCATAGCCAAAGCAATCTTGATAATAAAAAAAAGAATAATATTGAAGGTATCACCGCACCTGATTATAAAAAATGCATACATAGCTATAGTAAGAAAAACAAGATGGTACGATACAGAAACAGATATCAATGGAATAGGATAAAAGACTCAGATATAAACCCATGCAGTTATAGACATTTGATTTTGACAAAAAAATGCAAAAAAAATCTTATGTTAGAAAGAGAGCCTCTTCAACAAATGGTGCTGTGAAAATTAGAATAATGAGACTAGGTTCCTATCTCTCACCCAGTTTTTAAAAAGTCAATCTCAAATAGATCAAAAAACATAATGTAAGACTTGAAACTACAAAAGGAAAGGGTAAAGAAAATGCTTTAAGATACAGACATAGTCGAGGTCTTTATGAATAAGACCATAATTCTGGAAAAAATAAATAATGTAAACAACTGACAAATAGGACTTCTTAAAATTAAAAGACTTTTTATACAGCAAAAGAAAGAGTAATTGAGTGAAGAGATAGCCTGTAGAATGGGAGATCTTTGTTAGATATACATCTGACAGATGATTAGTATCTGTAATAAATAATGATTTTCTTTTGTTTTTTTTTTTTGAGTCAGGGTTTCTTTGAGTAGCCCTCCCTGGCTATCCTGGCACTAGCTCTTTAGACCAGACTGGCCTCTAACTCACAGAAATCTGTCTGTCTCTGTCTCTCAAGTGCTAGAATTAAAGGTTTGCACTACCACCACCCAGCCTACAATGAATTAAAAAAAAAAACTTAAAAGAAATCAAACAATTCAATTGGTGTTGATGAGACCGCTTGATAAACAAGCACTTCCCTGTTGGAGCTCTGGGACCTACATGGTGGAAGGAAGAGAACAAACTCTTGCAAATTGTCTTCTGACCTCTGCTGTGGAACAATCTTTTCTACACTATGAATATTTATTATTCTCATTGGTTTAAAAAAAAGCTGACAGGATCCTCCTGCAGCCTCAGTGAAACTCTGACACAGCTTGTTCCAATACTGCAGGGACTTAAGAGGTGAGTGAACAGCCACAGGACAGGACGCCCCACTCTCTAGGACCCCCAGAGTGGGACAAAACCCCGGGCCCCTCCCCCAACTCCCTTGGCTTTTCTAGCCAGTCAGCAGGGAGTTTCCTGCAGCTAGTCTCCCCCAAAACCCAAACCCATTCACTGGACCCCCCCCCAAGCGACTAGCCACATCCCGCCTAAGAGCTGAGAGCTTGTTATAACACTGAGGAGACCAAGAGCTATAACACTGAGGGGATTAAGAGAGCACCAAAAGAGCAAACCAGGAGAGAAGACCAAGAGAGCAGGCATATAGAGACCTCAAACAGACACTGACAATACAGAGCAGACCAAGAAAAACTCCCAAACACTCAGACAACCACTGCAAGGATTGGACCAAGACACAAAGATACTGCTGGCCTCATTTGAAGGGTAGGGCGTCAATGCAAGAGGGAGAAGAACTCCAGCTCAAAGGTACAGAAAATATATTCAACATAATCATAGAAGAAAATTTTCTCAACCTAAAGAAGGATATACCTATGAAGGTACAAGAAGCTTACAGAACACCAAATAGACTGAATAAAAAAATCCCCTTACCAAATAATAATCAAAACACAAAACATACAGAATAAAGAAAGAATATTAAGAGCTGCAAAGGAAAATGGTCAAGTAACATATAAAGGTAAACCTATCAGAATTACACCTGACTTCTCAATGGAAACCATGAAAGTCAGAAGGTCCTGGATAGATGTGCTGCAGACTCTAAGAGACCATGAATGTAAGCCCAGACTACTATACCCAGCAAAGCTTTCATTCACCATGAATGGAGAAAACAAGATATTACATGACAAAAACAGATTTAAACAATACGTATCCACAAACCCAGCCATACAGAAAGTACTAGAAGGAAAACCCCAACCTAAGGAATCTAACTGCACCCACAAAAACACAGGCATCTGGTAACACCCACCAGCAAAACCCAAGGAAGGGAAACACACAAATACTACTACTGAAAAACTACTAGTCATTAATATTGCTTAATATCAGCTTTAGAAAAATTCCCAGGAATCCACAAGGATGACTCCACCTAAGACCCTAAGCAATAGAGGAGAGGGTGCCTGAACTGGCCTTGCCCTATAGTCAGACTGATTATCTTAAATATCACCATAGAACCTTCATCCAGCAACTGATGGAAACAGAGGCAGAGACCCACATTGGAGCACTGAACTGAGCTCCCAAAGTCCAGTTGAAGAGTGGAAGGAATGAGAATATGAGTAAAGAGGTCAAGACCACAATGGGTTCACCCACTGAAATAGTTTACCTGAGCTAATAGTAGGTGACCAACTCTAGCCGGACTGGGAAGGAAAAAGCATAGGGCCAAACTTCTGAATGTTGCATGGCTGGCCAGAGTGAGAGGCCACTGGCAATGGCACCAGGATTTATCCCTACTGCTTGTACTGGCTTTTGGGGATCCTATTCTCTTTGAATGGATACCTTGCTCAGCCTGGATATAGTAGAAGGGACCTTCCACAAAGCAATGTGCCTTACCTTCTCTTAGGATTCGATGGGGGTGGGGTGGGAGGGCTGTGTAGGGAATGGGAGGAGGGGAGAAAGTGGGAACTTGAGTTGGTATTTTTTTAATCTAATAAATTAAAAAAAAACGCTGACAGGCCAGTAGCTTGGCAGGAAGTTAGGTTGAAAAGTCAAACTGAGAATTCTGGGAAGAGAAAGTGCAGAGTCAGAGAGTCAGCAATTGCAGAGAAGCAAGATGAGAATGTTGTACTGAGAAAAGGTACTAAGCCACAAGTCTAAGCAGAGATAAGAATTATGGGTTAATTTAAGTGTAAGAGTGATGTGGAATACTTCTTTTGTACACTGTGAAGATTTGTTACTGTTATTGGCTTATAAAGAAGCTGACTGGCCAATAGATGAACAGGATAAAGTTAGGCGGGAGAGCCAAATTGAGAATGCTAGGAAGGAGAAGAGCAGAATCTGGAGTCACCAGGCAGATGTAAAGGGAGCAGATGAATGTGTCATGTTAATAATATACCAAAACATGGCAGATTGTAAATAAGGAATACTGGTTAAATTAAAATGTAAGAGCTAGTTAGTAATAAGCCTGAGCTATTGGCCGAGCATTTATAATTTATATTAAGCCTCTTAGTCAATTATTTGGGAACAGATGGGTGGGACAAGGAACGTCTGTTTACAGACCTCTACTTATGTGCTGTACACACATGCACACACCCACACACCCACACAATGCATAAATTAAAACATTAAAAATAACTTAATAAATTGGTTAATGAACAGATGGTTCTCAAAAGATAAAACATAAATAGCCAAGAAACATATAAAAGATATTCCACCTCAAAGCAAATCAGAAGTACACTGAGAGCCCTGAATGACTGTCAGAAGAACAAAACAAATAACAAATTCTGGTGAGGATGTGGACAAAAAGGACTCTTTTTATATTGCTGGTTGGAATATAAACTAGTTCCAGTTACTATGGAGATCATCAGTAAGAAGGTTTTCAAAAAAAAACCTAAAAACAGAGCTGTTTGTTAGTGCACACCTTTAATCCCAGCACTTGGGAGGCAGAGGCAGACAGATCTCTGAGTTTGAGGCCAGCCTGGTCTCCAGAGTGAGTTGTAGGACAGCCAGGACTACACAGAGAAACACCGTCTCAAAAAAATGGAAGAAAATAAAAACAAAAAATAAAGAGCTAAAAATGCATAAAATCACATATGTATATGTAAAATTAAAGTAGAAATATGTGTCTATGAATAGACACAATAAAAATAATAATAGTAATGAAACCTGTATTTCTCAGTGACTAGCTTACTTAATGATAGGTTTCTTTATGACACTAATTTTCACTTACAGATTCTTAAAATATATGAATGCTCCTAGGAGTCCTTGGGAAAATTCAGGACAATGGTTCCATTCGCATTTTCCTCCTAATATGCACAGGCACTAAAATGACAGCAGAGTCCTTATTTTCATGAATATGCTGGGACTCTTGGATTATTGACGCAACCTCTCCCTCTCTTGCTAGGATGTTAAGTGTATTTGAATTAATTTGTCATTGACTATGATAAATGTTTTGACAGTGACATCAGAGGGGTCAAGGTACCCAAGGCTGGTTGGGAACCAGAGAAGGAGTACAACGGGAGTGGAATGGAACCATTGAGAGTCTACATTTATGTTTTGTTGTTTGTTGTTGTTTTGAGACAGGGTCTCACTATGTATCAAAGACTGGCCTTGAAAGCACTAGATAGCAAATACATAACTTGCATCTATTTTAAAATGTTGGATCCCTTTTTTGTCAGAGGTAAAAATAAATTCAAGCCACACCATACTGAAGAGAAAGCACCCACAAAAGGTAGTCACTTTCAAACTGAATATCCAATATATCCAGTGTTTGAGACTATACTCCAGTTTAGATTTGAGTCCCAACAAACTTTCCTAGCAAATGGGACCTAGAGGACATTTCCTCTCTAATACTAGCAGTCTGCCAGGCTCCCACTGCACATGGATGCCTCTATTGTTCCACTGCACCAAGCAAACTGCATAGCAGGCACCCTAGCTACAGCCTATTTAACCAGCAAGGGGCAAAGGTTGGTGTGGGGCAGTAGGCAAAGAACCACTCATTCAACTGTAGGTAACAGCCACCGAAGAGAAGCACAGATCTGCTTTTCTCACCTGCTCCTTCTTAACCCTTCATAGGTGGATCTCAAATTATCTCAACTGCTTCGTGTCTTGGGAGTCAAGGTGTAAGAAGGGGCTTTCCTCACCTGGTTTTCTTTTCCTGGAGGGACTCCAGTATCTCCCTAACATCAGTCACATGACTTTCCTTGAAGCTTTGATGGGAGACCTGAAGGCCAGCATGGACCTTCCTCACTTCTGTCAGTTCTTCTTTCATCTTCTGCAACAGTAGCTTTCGTTGCTGAGCCACATATGTTTTGTCTGAGAATTTCCTCTGTTGCATGCCTGACAAGTGACTCTCCAGAGTGTAGGGCCTAGCTATATTGTTTGGCAGGTTATCTTTCCCACCTGTCTTGGACAACTTGGAATATGAGACCTTCTCACCAGGCTGCTTATGATTGTCCACAGCACTTTCCACTTTCAGCACTGAGCTTGTAGGGCTGCAGCCCTCTTCCAGTTCCTTTAGCTGCAGGTGGCACTGATAGAGCTTCCGTTCTATGTGAGCAATGGTGGCAGAGGTGCGCTGGTTCACCCTCTCAAAGGCCTGCCGGATATGTGGGGCCTGGTGTCGGTCAGCTTTGGATACCAGCTTGAGGTAGCTCATGGTATTCTCATCCCTACTGGCCTTCTCCACTCTCAGCTGCTCTGAGAGGTAGAAGATTCGATGCTTGACACCTTCCCTCACATTACGGGCAAGCTCGCCATCTGAGAAGCTGGTGTGACTGCTAGGGCAATCCTCACGGGAGGACAGGGACCTGTAGGAGGGCATGTTTGGAGGGAGGGTTGCACTTGAGCTCTTGTTGCTTTCCACCTGCATTGGGAAACAATAAAACATGCAACAGGTCCTCTGTGCAAATCTTCTTCAAATAGAAGATTTGAAAATGTATGAGGTCACTTCAGAAAAAATGCATGTGTGCATAGACAGTGATGTGTACAAGGCTTGTGTATTCAAGATGAACCAAACACAGACTGTGTGGAGATGGAGTTCATTTCTTAGGCCCTGAACTTCTGCCTTTTCAACACTTAACTCCTTGCCCATAACTTACTACAAACTCAAATGGGTAAAATTTGTCCTCTACATCTGCCTCACCTGGCCTTGAACCTATCCTCCTATTATCTCTTCCAAGAATTATGAGTTACGTCTCTCACTTATTAGGGGCTGTTCTTATAAAGTAGCAGTAAACTTCTTCCCATTAATCCATATGGCTTTCTGTATTGCTACTTCTGGGGAAATGGTAGTTAGAAAAAATTCTATGCTAGCATGTTTATCCACTCTTGAAATCATTTGTCCCACACATTATTCTCTGAGCATTAATGAGACAAAATAGTCAGGGAGTCAAATGAGGGCAATACACTACTATACAACAAGGGAAATAAACTGCATCCTCGAGAAATAGGAAGGAATCTTACAAGCATAATGTTGAACAGAAAACTTCACATTGTGCTTTGTTCTATTTGGATAAATTTCAATAACATGCAAAATGCAGTGAGGTTGTATAGGGATGTCTCCATAGATGACAAACTATAAAGGAAAAACCTAGTCGTGAGAAGTATAAGCATCAGGAGGAAGAATTCCCTGAAGGGGGTTGTGACTGTAAGGCAGATGGAGACTGTGGTGCTTGATAGCAGTTACTTATCATTATTTCTTAAGATACATGTTTATGTTTTCTGCACCTTTGTGTGCATATTCCAGATTCTGCAATTTAAAAAAATGTTTTAAGTGTTCAATAGACAGATTTAATAGCAGATTTTATATGATTAGATAAAGTTGCTAAATAGTAAAACAGAGCTGAAAAAAAGTATCTGGAATCTAGCACAGAGGTATAAAGAAATAGAAACTTTTTGAAGTAGAAACAGAAGACAGGATGAGGAGGCCTAATAAAAATCTTCTCACTGTACCAGAGTGAGAAGATAGAATGAATATTACAAGGTAATCCATAAGAACTTTCTAGAACTAATAAAAGTGACAAATAAACACATTAAGACGCATAGTAAATTCCAAGAAGAACAAAACAAACTCTGAAATAGATCTGTATCAAGAGACAAGATATTAAGTTAGAGAGGTAAAAACATATTACCTTTAAAACCATGACTTTTAGCCTGCAATCTGACTTCTTAATAGCATCAGTAAAATCAAGAATATGACTGAATAATGTCTTCAGTACCGTAAGAGATATGCTGTTGGAGAAAAATAAATCAAGTCAGAGTCAAAGAATTGGAAATCAGAATGTCTTCAGCACAACCAGTAGCCAATGAAGAAATGCCTTCGAAGCTTGAAAGGTAAATGATTTCCAGCCTAGAATTTATTTTATTAACAAAGACATTCTCTGAGTTAAGAACGCTTCTTTTCCCTTTTCCTTCCTTTTCTTTCTTCCCATTTCTTTTGCCTTCTTTTCTGTTGTCTCTCCTACCTCTACTTTTCCTTCCCACCCTTTCCCATTCTAGGTATTAAACCCAGGGCCTCAAATGAGGTAAAACTTGTTGCTTACATTCCCAATCCTAACTGTGAATGTACAGTGAAACATTTTTAGACATGACAGAACCCAAGTAGTTTACTTCCTCTACAGTCTTTCTCCAGATTTTTTATGACACATATAGTGAACCACCACAATGAACAAAGGATTTAGGAAACAGGGTATTGGATGAAGGGATGGAGAGGGGAAGGAGAAAGTAAAAAGCAAACATCAATTTTTATTTCCCAGATGACAAAAGGAGAGCCTGTGTTCATAATTGGGCAACAAGCCTGGAAGGCAAATTAAAAGCTCCTTTGGGGCTGGGGAGGTGGATCAGTGGATAAATTGATGGCCTGAGTTTGGATCCCCAACATCTGTAACCCCAGTGCCAAGGGTAAAAACAGAATAGCAGTGGCTCATTGGTCAGCCAACCTTGCCTAATTGGTGAGCTTCAGGTTCAGTGAAAGAACTTGTCTCAAAAAGAAAGGAAGGATAGACCTGGAGGAAGTGGGGAGGAACGTGGACTTCCCACAGGGCAGAAAACCCTGACTGTTCTTAGGACTGGAGAGGGAGGAGGAGAGGGAGTCGGGGGAGCGGGAGGGTATTGGGAGGAGGGGAGGAAGTGAAAATTTTTAAAAATAAATAAATAAATAAATAAAAGAATATGTACATATTATATATACATCATTAGGTGTGTTTCTATATTATTTTCATTAACATTAAACACTGCCTTTAAGTTCTAAAAAAAAAGAAAGGAAGGAAGGAAGGAAGGAAGGAAGGAAGGAAGGAAGGAACTAAGAAGAAGTCAGAGGGTCTAGAGATGTCTCAATGTTTAAAAGCATTTGTTCTTTCAGAAGATCAGGGTTCAGTTCCTAGCACCCACATGGTAGTTTACAAATATCCATAACTCCAGTTCCGGGAGACCTGATGCCTTCTTCAACCTTCTGTTGGTACCAGGCATGCATATGGTGCACATACATACAGGCAGGCAAAATATGCATATACATAAGGTAATTATTAAATAAAAGTTATAAAAAAATATAGGTGAGAGATAGAGGAAGACATCCTGACATCTACTCCTAGCCTGCACACATACATACAAAGTCCCTTCAGAGAACTACTGGGAATCAAGTGAGTAGAATGTCATAAATTTTTTAATACATAAGTAGAAGATTTTTGTGTATACAGTTGGTGGAAGTACTGAACTCGATACAGGTAATAGAGGACAAGCAGAAGGGGGTACAAATATCGACTCCAAGGAAAAGAAAAAGTTAGACAAGGAAAGAAAATAAATCACATGCTGAAGAGATGCTCAGAGGTAAAAAGCACTGGCTGCTCTTCTAAAGGTCCTGAGTTCAACTACCACCAACCACATGGTGGGTCATCTATAATGAAATCTGATACCCTCTTCCAGAGTGCAGGCATACTATCAGGCAGAACACTATAAATAAATAAATACTTGAAAAAAAGTCGGCAGTGGTGGCACATGCCTTTAATCTCAACACTCAGGAGGCAGAAGCACAGGTCAGTCTGGTCTACAGAGTGAGTTCCAGGACAGCCAGAGCTACACAGAGAAACCCTGTCTTGAGAAAACAAAAAGGGGAAAAAGAGAGAGAGAAAGAGAGAGAGAGAGAGAGAGAGAGAGAGAGAGAGAGAGAGAGAATCACAGTAATTATTCATTTATAACTAGTATCCCCTTGGATTTGAGGATTTGGCCATGTAAATCCCAAGAAATGATGCACCTGAAATCATCACTGTGTACTGTGCAGGAAGGAAGGCCAAAGATGAAGTGTGCATTGGATAGAGAGAAGGCAGGTGAAAGAGCTACATCGTCATCTTTTCTTTAAGAAGTCAACATCAGTTCCTAAAATACAAAAAGACAATTAAGCAGGATTATATAATCAAATTGTTTAGGTAACTGGAGGCAAGTGACAGGTAAAACAGCAAAAATGTTGAAAATTGTTTGATTCTAGAGAGTAGAGGTGTAGTTGGAGCCTTGATGTTGCTAATTTTTAATGTTAAATGATATCATCTTTTAATTTAAAAATTAAGTTGCTAAGTTTTGGTTAATAAGCTTAGTATAAATATTTACCTCTAGCACCAAGAATTGACAAAATCTACCCTATAGGTCCATTACTTGGTTTTGAACAGCATGCAAACATTTATACCCTTTTTTTTCTTTTGAGATAGGTTCTTTCTACGTAGTCATGGAACTTTCTATGTAGAACAGGCTAGCCTTGAATTTACAGATATGTGCCTGCCTCTGCCTTCTGCATGGTTCATATTTATACCTTTTAAATATTTGAAAAAATGGGACCATTCAGAACATATAAAAATTACAAGGGATTGAAACCTCAGTATTCAACAGGATAGTGGTGGCACATACCTTTAAGCCTGGCACTCAGGAGACAGAGAAGGCAAATCTGAGTTCGAGGCCAGCCTGGTCTACAGAGCTAGTTCCAGGATGGCCAGGGATACATTTTTAAAAAGGAAAGTCAAGAAAGAAACATCGATATTCATAAAAAATTATTTTCCCAGAGCCATTTTATCAACTTCCCCACCACCTAAGGCTCCTAAGTTTTCTATAAATGCTATCTGGACATTTATAGAAAACTTTGGTGACCTATGCTTAAACTATGTTCATGTATACCTTTGGCAAATGAACAAACTGAATAATTTCTCAAGGAGCAAGTTGTAAATATGAAGAATAAAAATTTGCTCATAAACTTTTCTAGAGGGAATTTTACAGACACAATATAAGACTCAAAATTGAAATACGTTAGTGTAAAAAATTAAAAGTAAGGGACTGGAGAGATGGTTCAGTGGGTAACTATAAAAACATGAGAACCTAATTTCAGATCATGGTACCTATGTAAAAAACTGGGAATGGCCATACTTGTACCTGTAACCCCTGTGCTGTGGAAGAGTGGAAACAGGAAGGTTGCTTGGGCTTACTGGTCACCAGTCTAAGTTCAGTGAAAGACCTGGTATCGAACAATAAGGTGAAGAGTGATAGAACAGAAAATTAGATAGCCTCCTCTAGCCTTTACACTACTGTATGCACACATATATGTATATATACAACACATATGTATATATACCACACATGCTACACCACGCACACACAAACTTAAAAGTAATCACTAACTACTAGAACAGAAACAGAATATATAACATCCAAACAATCAAGAAGGAAAAAAAATGAAACTTGCTTGGTCCAGAAAATAGAAAGGAACCAATCATGGGGTATACACAGTATAGTCCCAGCCCCTCAGTAGTCTAAGCCCAGAAGTTTAGGGGCACATATCAAGACCTTGTCTCAAAAAAGCAAACAAAACAGGGGCCAGCAAGATGGTTTAGTGGGTAAAAAGTACTTGCTGTACAACCTGACGATCTGAGTTCAATCCCCAGAACCCACATAAAGGTGGAAAAAAGAACTGATTCCATATACTTGCTCTCTGACCTTCGTACATACTGCCACACACACACAGTAATAATAAATTTACATTTAAAAAACAGTCTAGTGAGATGGCTCCTAGGGTAACAATGGTTGCCACCAAGCTGATAGCCTGAGTTCCATTCATGGAACCTATATGGTGAAAGAAGAAAACTGATTCCCACTAAGTTATCCTTTGGCCTCCACTTTGTGTATGATATGCAAACACTCGCATGACCCCCCCACCCCCACACACACAAATGAGTAACTAAAAGAAAGTGCTGGGAATGTTGCTCAGAGGGCCCATCTAGCAAACTAAAGGCCCTGGGTTAGATTCCAGAATTGCTTAAAATGAGGTGATAAAGGCACATAGGCCTTTAATCCCAGCACCTCCAAAAAAGAGAAAAACTGGAGGAGCAAACTTCAAGCTCAACCTTGGCCTCAGTCAGCTTGAGTCCCACCTCTACCACATTAGACCCTGTCTCAAATCAACAAAAGTAAAGTTCAACCTAAATGTAAACAAACAAAATAACAAAACACAAAGAAAATAAAATAAAAAGGAAAAGGAATTAAAACTTTGTTTGTTCTGGCCTGCTTCCTCTCCCTTGAAAGTATACTGTCTCTTAAAAAATTGTCCCTGCTTCTATAATTTAAAAAGCAAAGAAAGAAGGCTGGAGAGATGGCTCAGCAGTTAAGAGCACTGGTTGTACTTTCAGCTGACCTGGGTTCAATTCCCAGCAACCACATGGCAGCTCACAACTGTCTGTAATTCCAGGGGATCTAACATCCTCATACATGCAAGCAAAACACCAATGCATATGAAATAAAAAATAATTAGGAAGCAAAGTAAAAGCAAAAAAATTCAGGGTAAAGATTGGCAGAAATGCCTTAGTGGGTAAAAGTTCTTGCTTCAAAGCCTGACAACCTAACTTGGATCCTCAGAACTTATAGCAGAAAGAACCAACTACTGAAAGTTGTCCTCTCACACCCACACATGCACCATGTGTGTGTATGTGTGTGTGTGTGTGTGTGTATCTATATATTCCTGCATTTGTATTCAAGTGCAAGCAAGTGCACATGCACCCCACACACATACACCATACTACTACTACTACTAATAATAATAATAATAATAATAATAAAGTGTAAACCAAGCAGTGGTGGCACACACCATTAGTCCCAGCACTCCAGGCAGATCTCTGTGAGTTTGAGGCTAGCCTGGTCTACAGAGGAGTTCCAGTAGAGCCAGGATTGTTGCACAGAAAAACCTTGCCTCTAAAAACAAAATAGTAGTAGAAGTAGTAGTAGTAATATCACTGTAAATAAAAATATAAAAAAGAAAGCATAGCCTAGTGGCACCTGTAACCCCAGCACTTGGGAAACTGAGAAATGAGAACCTCCAGTCTCAGGTCAGCCTAGGCTACTGAAACCAGGTGTTTAAAAAAATCCACAAGAGAAGCCATAAATATGACTCAGTGGGTGAAGGTGCCTGCCATGAAAGCCTACAGACCTGAGTTCAAACCCCTAAACTCACAAAAAAGTAGAAGACAACTAACTCCATAAAGTTGTCTCCTGACCTACATACACATACATGCATATACATACTAAATGGATTTTTTTAAGAGCTGGAATGTATCTTAGTAATAGAAGACTTACCTGGGATTTATGGGGCCTAATGTTTGATCTCCATCACCACCAAAAAAAAAAAAAACATAAAATAGGATGTTAATAAACTGTAAGTATAAACAGCTATATATCATGATTTTGGGGAGATTACTTAATATTATAAATATCCCAGCCATTTACAAATTTCTACATTTCATGAAATGACAATTAAAAATCAAACGGTATCACGTATAGTGTATACCATGTATAGATTGCAGGCACATACCTGCAATCCCATCACTTGGGAGGCAGCAGAAAGAATTCAAGGTCAGCCTGGATCACACAGTGAGACCCTATCTCAAAGAAAGAAAGAAAGAAAGAAAGAAAGAAAGAAAGAAAGAAAGAAAG